TGTGCGAATATTATCACAGCTTCTCTACCCATTCGTTTGCTGATGGGCATTTAGGTTGTTTCCAGCTCCTTGCTATTGTAAACAAAGCTGCGATAAACCTCCCTGGCCTCCAGTCACTTACGTGGCCACGTGGGCCAATACCCCAAAAAGTTTAAAAACCCCAAAAGTTTTCATGGTGGGACTTGTGTCAGGACCACAGTGGAATTAATAAACTTTAGGTGCTAATTTGTTAAAGAAAAAGTAGGGATCTGGAAGTGAGAGTAGAGAACTGAAAACAGTCCCGACAGTAAAAGAAAAGGTGGAAATGACAGTTCGAGGAGGGTTTAGTGTTCGTTTAATGAGGGTCTTTGCTACCTCAAGGATCTTTTAATTCCTGCTCTAAGTTCGACAAATTGAGCTCCATGGTAGAAACTTTAAAAAGCCGTGCACTTTTTTAGAACTTTGTGTTGCACTAAAAGACAATCTTACAATTTCTAATGGCTTCCTGTAGGCAACTAATGTAAACATGCTTCAGAATGAACGCTTAACATAAGTCAGAAAATGAAATAAAACCATATTTCTCATCCCTCCTCTCCCTGCTGTCTTCACTGTTCGCCTGCGAGGACTGCTGCAGTCCGTAGACTCCAACCGGAGTTCAGATTCTAGCATTTCCTGCTTTTGAAAGAAGTATCCATGCCCCTCCCCTTGTTCAAACCCCACAAAACATTCAAGCAAAAGACCAACTCCTTCGGGCTGCTTCCTAGCTGCTTCGCGGCCATGTCCCCCAAGAATGCTTCCTTCATGAGGCCCGGTTGTTCCCCACAGACACCAGGCTCTTTCACCCTCAGACCTCCGGTCAAACTGCCTGTTGGTGGAAAGAGCCTTCCAATCTCTATTTCACTGTGTTGACTGTTTCATCTTTGACCTTCAATTTCCAGTCCCAGTTAAGCATCCCTCTACATTCCCTCCATGTTCCTGCTTATTTCTATTTTGTAATTTACTCATTATTTGAATTCTGTCACCGCTCTGCAGGGGAAAGATGGGCAATCTCGTCCCCGTGAAATTTACAGCCTCCAAAAAGGCACAGGAAGTTCAGCTAGGATTCAGTTGTGACTCGACAGCAATGACCTTGAGTTTTCCCCAATATCTGGAAAATTTGTCTTACTGTGAAGTCAAGAACAGTGCCTCACTTACCTTTGTGTGCTGGCAAGGAGTAGGGATGGATTCTTGACGGAGTTTACTCAGCGGAAGAGAGCTGCTTATATGTCCACCTGCGCACAGGACTGCATTCCATTCTGATTCCTAAGAACTAGTCCCTAATCAGTAATCATTAAATAAAGCTGTGGTTATTGCGAACTTAAAGTCATCACTGGAGCTTAATAATGAAATAACTCACAGGCAGTACTTTATTTTAAAACTCCTAGTGGACTCTTCAGCTTGAAGGTGTGCCATTAGGTTTCACAGATTAAAATGAAAAAATAAAGCTTGGTCCCCACAGGGGACAAATGAAAGAACACAGAAAGTGGAGGGGAGAGTGTCTGAAAAG